GAAGTAGTTACTACATTCTGGCTTGTTTCTACACTGTCTGGCTTTTTGTTTTTGCATACAGAAAGACGCCTTGCTGCTGGTGGACCTGGTTTGTCAGAACACTGCTGGGCAGGTGAGCGCTCTTCCAAATGCTCAGCCCTTTTACAAGGTACCGCAGGGCAGCACATACTTCCCTCTGCTCTTTCCAGCCCACGGACTGGGATGAGATGTCCTTTCCTTGTGGACATACACCCTCTTCTCCCAAAGAGAGTACCCAAGGCTCTGTGGATGGGGAGGGGGCAGGAAAAAACCCACAACCCCTCCACCCCCCCACTGTGGGCTGGCTGCAAGCCCCAGCCTCATCCAGCCCCCCTCCAGCTGTGTTCCTTACACCATTCCCTCTACTCACTCTGCAAATCAGGACCAGCCCCTAACAGTCCTGTTTTTTGTCTTTGACTCTTCCGCTTTACCCTTTCTGCAGAGCGATTCCTTGGGCGTTATTGTAACCATTCTCAACATGAATGATAACAGCCCAGTGTTTAAGCAAACGAATATCACCAAAGTTGTTCCTGAGGTAAGCATTTTAGGAAGTGAAGGGGGTGCTGGGTCACCTAGTGCTGTGGGACTAAGGGAGGGTTAGCAGAAAGAAGTCTTCAGCCCATTTCACAGAAAGAATAACCCCAGCAACTTTATTTCAGGATACAAAACTGGGTGCAACTATTGTAGCCCGTGAAGATTTAAGCGCCAGCGATGCTGACCTGGACACCATATTTTATGAACTCACAACATCAGTGCCGGTGAGCGTCTTTGTTCTTTGGGGAAAAAATGGTAGCTCTGGAGAATTCTGTGTGTTTAATTCACAAGAACCCCAGCTTTGAGGCAAAGGTCACTGTATTGTATTTAGCTCTGAGAGCTTCTGGAAGAGGTGTGTCTCTTTCAAAGACCAGGCGTTGGTTTGGTTAGCAGAACAGAGCAATCAGCATTGCAGGTATTGAGTTCTTCTACTGCTCACACTTTTTATTACACTGTGCAGATTAAACGTTCATCTGGGATATTCTGAGCTGTATGATTCAGGGAAGTCTTGCTGGGATGGTCTGTAAACGTATCAGGAGAGACCTTTGTACCTCACAGAGCTCAGAATTGTGCTGAGTTGGATAGGGAAAGAAGGAGTTACTGTCCTCTTTGCTGCCCAAGATCACACAAAGCCTTTGTGTGATCCAAAATTCAGCTGTGCTAGGCTAAGGCAAGGGATCTTGCCAGCTCTCAGAGACTGAGCCATCTTTGATCTGTTTTGTGCATGGATGTGAGATTGCTTAGCTCTCATTGACCCATAATCGAGGTCTATGGGCAACCCATTGAGTGCAGGAAATGAGGTAAAAGGTTTTATCTAGGACTCGCTGAGCAGGTAGGAAGGCAAAGCAGGGGATCTTGGAGAATAAAACTCACAGGAACATGAACAAACCTTTCTGACAAGCCAGGCAGCTCCAGTGTGGGATACCAAAGAGTAAATAGATCTGGCATTCTCACACTGCACCACCTCCCCTGGTCCCTAGGCTTAAAGGTCCCATTGGGATGACAAACACAGCAATGAGCAGTATTTTGAACATGTCTGTGATTGAGCCTCCTAGTAGGGTTTTTCCTGTCTCTCTCCCAGGGCACAGATGGTTATTTTGCCATAAGAGGAGTTAATAACCCAGGAATTTATTTACAAAAAGCATTGGACTATGAGAAATTTAAAATGACAACGTTGGTCTTGTATGCAAGGGTAAGTTCTTCACGAGGAATAAAATGCTTTTTTTTGGCCCCAGTCTCCCTTCACTGAAGGGTAAATCTGAGTTGGAGATCTCTGGGATGGCAGGAGGGAGGGTGGATACTGGGAGCGGTGATTTTAGAGCAGCCTTCCACCCTCCATAATTACACAGTGACTGTGTCCAGCCTTGCATTCAGCCCACCCTTGTCAGCAGAATGAGATAATTCACGCTTTAGCTAATCTTACATAAACTGCTAAGCCTTAGAACTGAGTAACTAGCTAAAAGGCCCTGAGCCACTGGTTTTTGCAGATGGGTTCTTCTTTTGGCGATGAAACTTGCATCTCACATGTATCCTTTGCCTTTGGGCTTTTGCAGATGGGTTCTTTTGGCAATGAAACTCACGTCTCACATGTATCCTTTGCCTTTGGGTACAGGACAGGCCTATGAGCAGCACTGACACCAACACAGGTACCACAACAATAAACATATTTATTGAACAAGCTGACACCAGATCACCCTGGTTCTTACCCTGTACCTTCATTAACATGACCAGTCGCATTTGCATCAGCAGCCCCTATACTGGGAGGGTGAATATCTCCGAGATGTCGGTAAGCAGGCATGATCAAACTGTATCCTCAATGTTATTCTCAATATCCGGATGCTGCTTCCAATGGGTAGTGCCTAATAATTTCCATGAGCTCGTGCTGATGTCCAGTCGTAAATACAGATGATTCAACATGACAAGGAGCCTTCATCATCCTGGAAAGCAGAGGTTTCCCCGCCCCAAGCAGCACTGCTTGTCCTCGTTCCCGCAGTACATGACAGGAGAGCCGAGAGCTGGAAAGCCCTTTGCTTTACCTCGGCCCTGTTACAGCCATTTCCCAGCAATACATGCCATTCTGCCCAGACAAAACCACACTGGGACGGGAGAATGCCGCAAATGCTACTTTGGTGCCGTGGTATGGTATGTAATGCTTTGCCTTGTTATTGCAGACAGAACCACTCATCCTAGAGCCGGGGCCTATCCATGCTATTGATCCTGACTACATTTTAAATGAGAAAATCGTGTACAGTATTGTTGGAGGTGAGTAGAAGTTGTCACCTTCTCCAAACCACATTGCTCACGGCCCTTACGTTACCTGCCAGGAGGAGATACTCTCCACAGAACTTGAGAGTTGAGGGCCTGGGGATTTACCCCTCTCTTTCTGCCACTCTTTCTAGTCAGAAACATGACTAGATCCACAGAACGTTTCGGATTAAGTAGAAGAAACAGACTGTACAGAGAGGAAGAAAGGGAATTACAGTCCTACAAACCAATCTCAATGAAATCTGTGTCAAAAGGACTTTTTTTTTTTTTTCTGGGAGGTCAGACATGTTTTATCTTTAAGCTTTTAGAGCTGATTTTGCCCAACTTGTCAGGCAATTTTCATTTAGTCTTTGAGCTGAAGCTAAAATTCCCACGTCATCAGCATAATTTTCTTTCCTTGTCAAGAATTATTTTTTTATCCCCCAGCACATTGCCACTATCTAATCTGCCCTGCTTTACTCTTGATTTCAAAAAGATTACTTGAATACAGTCAACTGATTGCCCAATCATTGACTGGGCCATTTATTTCATTCAAATGTGGTTTGGGTTTTTGGTTTGTTTTTTTTAAACAATAGAGGGTTTTTAATAACTGTCAAGGCAAAGGTAGATCATATTGGTCAGGTGGAGTGACCACTGGCTCATCTCCTTTTACTTATGCCACACAGCACCACATCCGTGAACATCCTCCTGATAATAAATGTAATGACCTTGAATGTCATTGGCATTTTGGATGTAGTGTGACCTGCCTACCTCACAGTCAATAGGAAACCCCGGACTGGAGGGGTCACTGTCTAAATACAGCTCACAGTGTCTCAGAGTGAGGAAGGGAACTAATTTTTGCTTAAAATTTAACGTATATTCAGCAGAGATGTTTTTATGATTGAAATACATATTAGAGATGTAAGAAGGTGATTTTTATCCCTACGTTAATGTTTCTGTGTCTAGGCTCCCCTTTAGTTGGTAGAGATAAATCAGCAGTTCCAGAGCAGAATGCAGTTCACGTTGAGGCCAATGTTCACAGTAAATTGGATAAATCATGCACGGAGATGCCATTTTTTCTCTTCAGAGTGTAGGTAGCGAGGTCAGGTAGAGATGTCTTTCCTTTTGAGTCCTAGAGATATTCGAGACAACCCCCTACCCAACTATTACTTTGTATATTGGTTTCTTGCCTTTAAAATAGGAATAAACCTTCCCTTGTCTCTCCTGCAGTGCAGTTTGGGTTAGGGAACTGGAGACCTTCAAATTGCATCGGAGTCTCTAGGCATTAAGCAGAATTTAAGCTGGCTATATCTGGGCCTAGGCACTGGAAATGCAAAGCTTTGCTGTCCTACCTCATCTAGTTGTGTTCACACATCCCTGGCCAGCACTCCCAGCCCTTACAGCAGCCAGGCAGACAAGGAAAACAGCATTATGCCCTGGGGGTATTGTCACTCCATGAGCTCCAGGTCACTCTACGAAGGCATGTGATGATTGAATAGTCTTCCCATTTTCTTTAGGGGACCCAGACGAAGTGTTCTCGGTGAATGCAGACACAGGGAATCTGACTATGAACAAAGTTGCAACTTCCCCAGGCTCCTACCTCTTGCAAGTCATGGTAAGTCTGATGGCATTGCAGACAACAACCCAGCATAGCTGGCATTCTAGGAAGCAGCAGTCTCTGGTATGACAGGAATCAGTTGCATTGATAATTAAAGGTGACTCAGTGACACCCTTTCTTTGGGAAGGGCCGGTATTTGACCAGTGTCTGATACAAACTTACATGCAAAGCTCTTGCAGAAGAGGCCTTTTCCCTCATTTTCCCCTTTGCTTGCTCTGTCAAAGCAGATTGACTGAGCAGGGACATCCTGCTGAGCTGAAAGTACGGAGGAGCGTAACTGGAAGGGTTTCTTTACACAACTGGAGCTTGTGTTACAGTAGGTAACGTAACTCAGCCCTAAGACAAGCTCTTCTGGCTACAGCTCAAGAGGAAAGGAGGGAGTTGTAAATCCCTCCCTGCGTATACATACCCAGGAAGATGTGGGCTCTCAGGCAGTAATTTAACTGGCCCAGACCCTGAGGAAGGTGAGCAGACTGGTGCTGCTGCTGGAATCTTACTGCTTTCTTTGTACTGGAGCATGGCAATCTGTCCAGAGGTGTCCCTTATGGAGGGTCATATCTGGATTTAGGGACTAGACCAAGGCTGTGTGGAGGGCCAATGGCAGAAGCAAGCTAAAACACGAGGACTCCAAACCATAAGGCCACCTGTGACAGGTCTGGCTCAAAGCTCACTGAAGATAAGAACCCCATGGGTTGCAATTGCTTTCAGATCAAGCCTATCCTTTGAGGTCTCATCACTGATAGGAAAAGGCTATCATCCCTCTCTTTCTCTCTCTTTTTCCTTCCAGGCCACCCAGGTCAACAACATACAGAAATACTCCATAGTCAGCGTAGAGATTAAGGTCATTAATAAAAGTGATAATCCACCGTACTTTGAGAACAGGATCTACAACGGGACAGCATTTGTTGGTCTGGGCCCAAGAAGCTTTGTCTTCCAAGCTGGTGATCCTTCAACACCCCTGATGATAACAGCAGCAGATGATGATTTCCCTGATGTAAGAAACTGAAAATGCACTGCTTGCTTTCTCACTGCTTCAGGCTTAAAGCAGGATCAGAAAACATGAGGAAGGGGAGATGGGGAGAGGCAGACACATGGTTTCCTCTAGTGTTCCAAGTTATAATTCCCTGGAAATGCCACATAGATCATAACCACCTATGGTGTGATGTAATGAGGAGAAGCTGCTGGATTCCTCTCTTCCAAAAGCCAGTCCTACCCAAATCTGTGTAGGTGAGCTGGTCTGCTGCAAAAAAGCAAGCTGAGTAAAGCCTAGACTTAGCAAATAATGTGAACGAATCCAAATCTGAATTAGGGCTGGGTCCAGTGTTTCCAAGAGTTTGGGGTGGCAGGATCCCAGGCAGAGGTGTCCTGCCAGGTCAAGGACAGCTATTTGTAGACTGGCCTGGGAAGAGGAGCCAGTCCAAAGACAACTAGCAAGGCCTGCAGCCCTGGCTGGAAATTAACCTTCTCCCTGTAAGAACTGTTTTGAGAGCCATTCTTGAACAACATGCTGGGAGAAGGAAAGGGAAGAGATTTACTGACCTGAGCAACAGGCTGAACACACTGAGCTCAACCTTTCTCACCTCCTCAGTCCAGATTTATTTATTGCATTATACACCTGCTCATACTTCAGGTGTATCTGACAAGTCTTGCCAATGAGTTGTTACGTAGATGCATGCAAAGCACACGGAGTGTGGTTTAATCCTTCACTCTTCTGGCTTTTCAGAAAGTCAACCCAAACATTGAGTACTACATAAGCAACAGCACTGAATTCATCGCAACCAAAGATGGACTCATCCTGACAAACATGACGCTGCAGTCACCAGAAAGAGTAACCATTGAGGTAGGGCAACTTTCTTCATTATCTTGCCAGGGTTGGGGAAGGAAGAGGCAGTTTCTAGTAGAGAATCATCAAGGGTGGAATTCCATTAGGTAAGGGATGTAATGAAGGGACAGTCCTTGCCCCAACCATTTGCATCATAAAATGTATAGGGTTGGAGGGAGACAAAGTGATAGCAAATTGACTCAGTGTGATACAGACTATGGTGCTAGCTGTAAAATTGTTTTTCCAATCCTGTGGAAAATAACATTGGAGACAAGCAAAAAGTCAACTGGGAAGATTTTAGGAGCCTCCTCCCACACTCTGATTAACAAAAAAAGGAGGGTGAGCAAGTGGGTAGGAGGTTGATTTGTAGGTGGGGGTAGGGTATGATTGCTGGCGTATACCCCAGCTTTAAAGGCTGCAGCCCCAAACTTGGAAATTCTTTGGTAAATCCAGTACTTTTTTTGCTCGGATCGAAGGGAGCAGTTAATAAATTCAGACTTTCTAAGAAGGTGGATGTTCACTTTGTCCATCTGCCTGCCAGTGACAACTGGCTCCTTAAGTCTCGCCTAGCACAATGCCATGCCTTACGGAGCTGTCTGAACCAGCTTGACTATAGCATCGGTTTAGCTATGTGGGCAGGGCAGTGAGGTGCCAACACGTGCTGCTGCCTGCCCCACGCTACGTGATCTGCGTGCTGCACTGTGCTGCAAAGCTGTGCACAAACAATGCACCTGGTTCTGGCCCAGGACTAGGCCACCACATACCTTGAGAGTGAGCTGAAGATGTACAAGTCCCTAAGCTATCTCCTTCCCATGTTCACATAGGCTGTTGGAAAAGATACGGTGAGCCTGCAGAAGGGGAGCACTGTCATCGTGGTGGAGGTTATCCCTGCTGCAGGTAGGTTGCTTGTCTCTGCTTTCAGCTTTGTGGAGATGACTGGGGACTCTTTTCCACTTCTGTGGGCAAACTGGCAATGACCCAATGAAGTCTGGAGACCTGAGCTGAGGACAACCTCATACCTACAGGAGGTTCTGTGGTGGCTATAAGAGAGAAAACACTCAAATGACATCCTTATGGTGTGGTTACCACATGCCTCATGCAGCCTCCTGAGACTCTGAGTAGTGCTGTGCATTGTAGTGTCTTTTCTTGTTATTCCAAAGCTAAGTCTAGAGTAGCTTCGTGCTATTTTTGTGGGACAGAAATAACCCAGGATGTCTTATTATGGCAAAGGAAGGTTGTCCTGATTCATTGGTACATCACTGCTCTTTTTTAGCCAAAAATAGAGAAAACTGCAACATTATTTCCAGTCTTATGCAGAGCAGACAGAAGTTGGCACACCCCCACACAGCTTCTCCCTAAGACAAGGCATTTTCTACTCAGTTCAAGTTCTATACTTCAAGAATTTAAGGTCTTTTGAGAAGATGACCTATGAGAAATAAGGTAGATGTGAGACTACATACGTAACCCTCCAGCTGTCATTTGGCTTTGTTGACATAAAAATAACTCACACTTCCATATGACTTAGAAATGGCTCTTAAATACATCTTATTTATCAGTTAGATTTGAAGCTTATGAAGCTTCTTATGCTCTGCATTAAATGAACCAATAGCATGTATTTTCACATCAGGTTGGGCAGATAATGCCTAGCCTGCGTTGGTTTCCACATGATGATGTGTACTTGAAGTTCCCAGTTTGGCTCTTCCATTACTCCACCCTCTGAATCACAACCGCAGTGGGGATTTCTGGAGGAAAAATAAAAAGGTGGGCTCCTGGGAGTGAATTTGGGTTCCCTAAAGGTAGTGTCACTTCACAGCTTAAAACACTGGCTGTATAAAAGCTACCTAAACCCAATTTAAGGGCACAATCCAGCTCAGCAGAAAGCTAGTTCAGGTGTCAGTACACAGGGCTGCAGATGCTCCAAACAGATGTACTGACACATCTATGCAACATTTAAATGTTGCCCTTGCTATTTAAGCCCCACAAAATAATGATGCTGGTGACTGCAGAAAAGTAGATTGAAATTACATTGAATGGCTCAGGGCCTATGAGAGGAATTGTGCTTTATTCTATACTATAGCCAGCACCCAGGAATGACCTAAAAAGAGCTGAGATTACCATTTGCTGACCAATCTGTAGGATGTTTAACCCTCGACTCTGAGGTGTTCTTAAGGAATGTGTACGCAACAGGTTGGAGAGCGCTTTATTGAGTGTTCTGATATTCAGGGCAAAAAATAGTCTGGGGAGTGCTAAGTGCACATTGGCCGCTGGTTTCTGAGATGCTGGTGCCAGCTCACGTGGATCTCAATGTTTAATATATACCCCTTCTGGGGAGTGCTAAGTTCACATTGGCCGCTGGTTTCTGAGACGCTGGTGCCAGCTCACGTGGATCTCAAGGTGAGTCATTCCGTGAAGCTGAGCCAGCTTTCACAGAGGCACTGCATGCTGCACAGCACGGAAAGAGTTCAGGGTGGTGGGATTTCACATCAGCTTTGTGGGCTGTGGCTCCCTAGGAGACATGATTAAGAAGCAAAAGTTCACTGACGTCCTAAACGCTTACCAACGTATTAATAATAAACTGAAAGTGCAATTACATGTGGAGGGAATACTCAAAGTCCATTGTCATAAACTGGTCAGCAGGAGAACAAAACTGTTTCATTAATCATTAAGCTTCAGAAAGACTAATTTACACTACAAAATGAAGCTGGAAAACTTAAAGAATCCCACTGACAACAAGAAGCAAAGATGATTAACCCTGAGGAAGTTACTGTCTTTCACTATAATGTCCACCTCTGCACTAATACGCTTATGCTGGCTGAAAGCATAAGCCACTCCTGAGAAGGCTGGTGTATATTGCTACAGCTACAAAGGGGCAGGAAAGGGGTTCCAAGGGGTATCAGTATCAGAGGTCACGTTCTGCATTGAAGGAAGCTTTGCATTTTCACACACACATACAAACATACCTCACTTTTGCATGCTGATGTAAATGGGTGAAGTGGGAAAGTAAAAGCCCAGCCTAGCTTTACTCGATGTAACATCTGCTCGCCTGATACAGTTGTGTATATGTTAGCTTAGTTAAATCATAGGGTAAAAGTCATTGCCCTGTCAATGGATTCTGTTTCTACTTCATGTAACTTACTGGAAGTTACAGTATTCTGTGAGTGGTCACCCTTAAGAATGCCCCTCTCATTTTAGGACAGCAAACAAGTGGCCCTCTGTGACATTAAATATATCGCTGTCACATTCTGCAGCAGAGGATGCTTCTTTGCCCTTCAAAAATTGGTTGGAGCTTCTCCCACAATGAAGTGTTGTGTTAAAAAAGCTAACTGTCATTCTTAGGCTTTGTAACACTGGCTTGTTTTTCTTGTAGCTGTAACCTCTTCTGATAAGATATACACTGCCCAGGATATGGCTATCTTAGGTGGTACATTGGCAGCGCTGCTACTAATTGCCTTAGTCTTCCTTGGAGTAATGATATATAAACAGCACGGAAAACCAGTCAAATACCTGATAAGGAAAAAGGTAAGTACTTGGATCACCTGGAGATAGAAAGTGGCATCTGAGGATGCTTTGAAGTATGGATGGGCTGTCCAAATGCTCCACATGTTTCTGTGAGGTGATGAATCACTCGTGAGACAATGTTTGCAAAAGTAGCATCGCTATGGTGGTGTCTGCTGTTGTTCGTTTCTGTCCCTTGATGCTGGAGCTGCATGGTAGATGATGAGCAGACACAGTAAGAAGAGGACCACAGTTCCATGCAGCACAGAATCTAGGATGAACGTGACACATATCACAGGTGGTCTCTGAAAAATATGTGTCTGTGGTAGAAACCACTGTTCATCCTCCCTCTGTAGACGATGGAGAGAAGGTCCCTTCATATCCCGTCATAAAGCCTGGGCATAGACAGTTGTCTGCTCCTGAACTATTTCCTTTTGGCTTGCTCAAGTCTCTGGCAGTCTGGCTCCTTTAAAGTGTAGGGTGTAATTCATCTGACCAGATTTTGGTCTCTGCCTTAGGATGGGACTGTTGTGAGTCTAGACTCTACTGACTACAACAGGAGTCCAGAGTCCAGGCAAATAACAGTCCTTCATGCTGAGTGAGGTTAATCCCACTCCAGTATAATACCTAAATTGGATGGGTACAAATCAGCATACACTGCTGGTGCTCAGCCCTCTTGGAAAACATGCCTGTGCTTCTCTGAAAAAATCCAGAAGTGGAGTCAATAAATAATAGTTGTTGTAGGGAGTCATACCTCTGCCAGGCTTCAGACAGGTCTGACTGCAAAACAAGCCGAAGCCTTCCTGAGCAGGAGCTCAGTCACTTCAGCCACCCCTTCTGCCCCCAGATCCATTTCTTTTCCTTTCACTACAATCACAAGATGTCTTTCCTTCTGTAGTTATCCAAGGAATTCCCTGGGGGTTACCAGAACCAATCTTACAATCAAGACGAACACCCAGATGTGAGCACCAAACAGCGTAAGACATCAGAAAACGGCAGTGTCTCATCAATGACACATGTGCTAGAGCAGCCAGCTCTTCCCTTGCCCTCTTCCAACACAGAAGAAATTCATAGCCTCGCAAAGGCTTCTGTAGCCTCCACCATCATCTTTGATGAGGAAAATAAAGAAGTGGTGGAAGAGGCTGAGCATGAGAAAGAAGTGAAGTCTATCCTCAAGACAGACAGGCACGTGGGAGATGATGGCTACAAAGCTGTGTGGTTTAAGACTGATGTGGATCCAGATGCTGGAGAGAGGGTTAAAGTAATTGAGGACAGTGCAGGAGATGGTGATGATGACAGTGACCAAGATCTGCAGGACAGTGAGGAGGAGGAGGAAGATGATTATGACAAGGACAAGCAGCATAAAGGACTGGGAGTGTCCTTTGCCTCAGAGAGCTCATCACTCCCAGCTGCAGAAGTGATCATCAACCTGTCTCACACAGAAGCAGTGACAGAAGAAAACAGTGACATATAATGAAAATAGGCCTGCACTCTCCCCCCAAAAATGGGGGATTATCAGTTGCTTTGCTGCCCGGAAGCCCATCTTTCTGCTCAAAGGGGAAACTGGAATACAGGAGGATGAGGTTGCCTGTCTTGCTTGTCTGAATGCAGAGATTAAAGCTGGGAGGGATTACAGCTAATTCAAACTTCCAGTGAGAACTTGAAATATCACTTATGATTTTGGGGGGCAGGGGACACACACATGGCCCATCTCTCCACCTTCTTGCCTGTTCCCCCTGGAATCCAGTTTCCCAAAGCAGCTGCAGGCACAGCAAATGTAGCCGAATGGACTTTGAAGCAGTTGGCCCAGCTCGCAGTAGCAATTTGGTTATGCAACACAGTGTTCACCTCCTCTCGGTGGGTAAATAAGCCAGCCCTGACTGCTGGGCTGTTCTCTTTCGGGTGTTACAGTTTGATGCCAGCTGCAGGGTGTAAACCAGAGCAAGTCACCCTGCCCCTGCAGTCGCTCATATGCCTGGAGCAGCTTCAGAGCTTGGCTCTGCTCCTGCTGTGTCAAACTCCGTGCTGCCAGCACAAGCAGCTGGCATGTGCCATTATGGTCCTCGTCCTGCCAGCAGCTGGGAGTTTCCATGCTCAGGAGCTGCTGTTTCTTGTCGCTCACAAGCAAGGACTGGTCACATGTTCTTTTCTGAAGGACTTTGTCATGTATTTTTCTATGTCATAAAATCACTAATTTGCAGCACTTCTTTAGCTGTCTGTCTCCTGTTTGTCAGGGACAAGAGCAGCTCCTGCCAGGACCTGGCTACAAATTGCCAGGGGTATGTCCAGCTCTCAGGGCTTTTGGCACCAATGGGTATTGTTCCAGGGGTGCTGGATGTGGGGTCAGCACGTTGTCTCCCACTGTCTCCCTTGTCCAACAAGGCTCAAGGAGTCCCTTCTACCATTGCTGCTGAAGGTGGAGGTCAGTATGACCTCCAAGCGTCCGATGGCAGTGCCATTTCTCTGCTCCTCTCATCTCAGATGCTTACCATCTTTCTCAGTTCACGAGGAGCCCAGCAGGCTCTTTGGCCGTCAAAATAACATCTTGGAAGCTTCACTAGAGCTGAGCTGCAGCCTGAAATCAGAGGTGGTTCAAGTCAGCTCTGCTGTGCTTGGCTCACGAGTCCAGTCCTGAGCTAGAAAGCCTGCTGACCTCTGGATTGACTTTATGGGGTGACAGCCCATAGCATGTTAGATCCCTCCTGCCCCAATCCTCCATCATATTTTGTCTTCAACTATGGTCCTGTCCTA